TAAGGTGTCTTGTGAACAGCAAAAAACATAAATGTTAACTGCTTTTAACTTTTAGATGTACCAGTATTGACATTACAGCTTCAAATGTTTGCATCTATCATTCTTATTTTAAAGCCTAAAAAACATTGTAGCCCAAATGAAAAAATAGGAACTTAAAAATATGTCCAGGAATTGAGAGGTTAACCACAAATCCTGAACTAGGGGCTTAAGTCTGAGGAAAGTTGATTTGACGTGAACTCAAATTCTGTTCCTCTTATTTAGATGGTTAAAAAAAAATTAGGGACATTAGGAACATTAAAATGAAGTTTAAGCAGAAATGAACCACTTGGCTTTTACATGTTAAGAAAGATATGTCCCTGGTTTCTTTAAAATAGGCATCAAGAAAATGAGAAAAAAATAGGAGAGGGACTCCAAAGAAACATATGTAGAGCTGATGTGCTCTTAGCCTTCCATAGCAAAGAAAATCCAAAGGGACTTAAAACCCAGGCCCACTGGGCACATGTATTCACTTAAAAACAACAAGATAGTTCCCAATGCACATTGAATTTGAGAAATATCTCAAATGGAATAAGCTTTGAATAAAGCTTAATTTTTTTTAACCTGGAATGCCCTAGATTGAAAAAGAGAGACTCAAGAGCAGGTACCAACGTGTTTATATTAGAACTTATCAGTGAGACTTCTGCATTCCATATTCTCCCAGTGAATTTATGTTTATGTTTTTAGAGACAAGGTCTCACTGTCACCCATGCTGAAGGGTGGTGATGCAATCACAGTTCACTGTAACCTCAAATTCCTGGGCTGAAGCGATCCTTCTGCTTTTGCCTCCCAAATGGTTGGGATTCCATGTGTGAGCCATTAGGCTTTGCCCTCAATAAGTATTTCTGTCTACCCTGACTGCCTTTCATTCACCAAAGGGAACAAACGTTGACTTCCCCAGCATGTATAAGTGGAAGGAATCAATAGGGCTACCATTACTCAGAATGATGCTGACACCGTTTTAGTCACTTAACATATATTTTGAGGTAAATACTTTTGGTTGAGCAAGAGACATACATTTGTGCCTAACAGCATGAGTGCTGATGCCAGATTTGAATCTCCGCTCCACCACTGGGTAGGTCCTATGTGACTTTGGGTCACATGACTTCATACTACACCTGCTAACTCATGTGCAAAATGGGGATGGTAATAATCTCCTACCTCTTAAGTTGTGGTGAGGATTAAATGAGTTAATATATCAAAGATGCTTATAAGAATGACTGGTATATTTAAGTGCTCAATAAATATTAGCACTCACCCCAATCTCCTCCGTCCACTCTCCCCCATTTTGTTTTTGCATGCTCATTTGTTTTTTTAACTGACAGGGTCTGGAATTTGTACAGTGCACTGCTCACCTGCACGTATGCACGTACTTCTCTCAACCAATTAAGGTAACACTACTTCCCTGGCCAGCAAGGAATGGTGGGTGGTACAATTCTGGCCAATGTGGACAAGTTTCCTGGGGTTAGGGTGTGTTCATGGACGGTTTCTTTCCAAATTAAGTGTCTTGAAAAAAACAGCCTAATTCCTTATCCTAACGATGCTGTTTCTACATGTATAATGAACGACCTGTAAGAGCAGAGCCATCTTGGCACTGTGAAAGGAGCAGGAAGAATGGTGAAAACAATAATGACATTGTTGAGTTGACAAATTAATCAACCCTGTAGTTCCTGCCTCTGGATTTGTTCAATGAAATGATAAGTCTTCCTTATTGCTTAAGCCATTTTGAGTAGGGTTTTCTGTTATTGTATCTGAAAACACTAATTGGTTGATATTTCTCAGACACCTGCTGTGTTCAAGATATTTTATAGAGAATACAAAGTGTAAAACCCTGAACCTGATCTCAACAAGTTTTCCAGATACATGAGGTAGATAAACCATGAAAAGAAAACTAGTAATGTCAGTGATATGGTTTTGCTCTGTGTCCCCACCCAAATCTCATGTTCAGCTGTAATCCCCAGTGTTGGAAGTGGGGCCTGGTGGGAGGTGATCGGATCATGGGGTGGTTTCTAATGGTTTAGCACCATCCCCTTAGTGCTGTTCTCGTGATAGAGTTCTCATGAGATCTGGTTGTTTAAAAGTGTGTGGCACCTCCCCCCACTTCCTCCTGCTCCCACCACATAAGGTATGCCTGCTTACCTTTTGCCTTCTGCCATAATTATAAGTTTCCTGAGGCCTCCCTAGAAGCCAAGCAGATAGCCAGCATCATGCTTCCTGTACAGCCTGCAGAAATATGAGCCAATTAAACCTCCTTTTAAAAAATATATTAGCCAGTCTCGATTATGTATTTACGGCAATGTGAGAAGAGACTAATACAGCCAGGCAGTAAATGTTAAGGGCTTGGATTGGGATGGTCTGAGAAAGCAACATAGAAGGTCTTATCTGAGGAGAGACCTCAAAGAATAAGAAAAACATAGATGGGCAGAGAGAGGACGGAACATTCCAAGTAGGGGAAATATTATAAACAAATGTAGGGGAGAGTTAGAGATTACATTAGTTTGCTAGGGTTGCCATAACAAAATACCACAAAACGGGTTGCTTAAAACAAGTGCAAAATCCAGGGTCAAAATGTCCACATGGTTGATTTCATTCTGAGGCCTCCTCCCTGGTTTGTAGACGGCTGCCTTTTTGCTGTGTCCTCACATCATCTTTTATCTGTGTGCATGTATCCCTGGTGTTCCTTTGTGTGTCCCAATTTTTTCTTCTTATAAGGATATCAGTCAGATTGGATTGTAGTACAATTTGACTGATATCCTTATAAGAAGAAACCTTATTATAATTTAATCATACCTTTAAAATACAGTCACAGTCTGAGGTACTGGGGGTTAGGACCTCAAAATATGAATTTTGGGGGTACACAATTCAGCCCATAATAGAGATGAAAAGGGAGCTCAAGGTCAAAGGTTAGAGAGCATTGGGAGGTAAAGTTGAAAGGTTATGTTAGGGCCAGATGGTTAGGTAATCTTGAATACTGGGCCTAGATTTTGCTTTTTGCAGCAGCAGGGAAGCAACATAGATCTTTAAGAAGAATAATTTGGCAGCAATGTGTCACAGGTGTATAATAAGGAAAAGAGTGGGAGTATGAAAAATGGGTTAGGATTGCTGTTGCATATAGTCCAGACAGGCATTGATAAGAACTGAACTCAGGAGAGGAAGTTGAAGGGACTGAATGAAAGCGAAACTGAGAAGAAAAGGACAAGATGTACGTTTTAGTCTGCTTTCTGTTGCTGTAACTGAATATGTGAGAATGGCCTATTTATAAAGAAATTTGTTTTTTATCATTCTAGAGGCTGGGAAATCTGTGGTTTCAGGGCCACATCTGATGAGTGCCTTCTTGCTGGTGGGGACTCTCTGGAGTTCTGAGGGAGTGCAGGGCATCATCACAGGGTGGGGAGTTCACCAGAGAGAGCCAACCTAGCTTTTTATACAGACCTGGTTTTGTGACAACTAACCCACTCTCATAATAATCCATTAATACCTTAATCCATGAAAAAACTAATCAATTTATTATTCATGAGACCTGGCCCTCATGACCCAGTCACTTCTGAAAGGCTCCACCTCCACCACTGCTACATTGGGGATGAAGTTTTAACATGAGTTTCAGAGCAAACCATCAAACCATAGCAATGTATGTTTAGAATTTTCCAACAGTCAAGCCAGTGGAAGCTGTGCCATAATAATTCAGCTTGTAAAAAATAGTATTATCATTAGGGTTGTGAGGCCTGGGACATAGAGGTTCCAGCTTTCTAACACTGAGGACTACCTGTTTGAAAAGGAATAGGCTTCCTTTTTGGGTATGGAGTATTCCAGAGATGTTCAAAAATCAGTTTTGTAAAAAGGACAAAAGTACCATGTAGGAGACTGGATTATTAGATATTCTTCATCTATGGTTTAGGGTCAGAAGCCTAAAGGTTTCGTTTAGAACCCAGAGTAGTTAAAACATGTAGCTAACATTCTAAGTTGCCCAGTCTTCTCACAGAGATAATCTAGGGTAAGGTAGTACTCTCTGATCCTGATTGGAGTAGACCCTTTGGTTGTTTAGTTTGTGCAATACTCAGCATGCCTGAAGGGCAACTGATGTTATTTCAGTCACCAGTCGGTATATAAAATAGAGTAAATGGGCTTGAAAAGTTAAGAATTTGATCACCAAAATGAAAACTTAGAATTGCAAGATCTTTAGTATTAAAAACTTAGCATGTATGACTTTTGTAGATTGTAATCACTAAACAAAATGCCTGTTTTAAAATTATCTTAAATTTTTTTAATTACAAAAGAAATGTGTGCTTACTTTCTTTTTAAAGTTGGAAGTAAACTATAAAAGTACCCTTTCATCTTCCTCAGTCTAGCTTCCTTAGGGACAGGCACTGCAAACAGTTTTATCTGTAGCATTCTAGACCTTTTACTGAACATCCCCCACCTCCACCCCACATACAAACAAACAAACACACATTTTTCAGAGCTATATATTAAAAAGTACAAACTCACACACATTTTCAGAGCTATATATTAAAAAGTATATATTACATAATATAGAGTATGCATATATAGTAATATACTTTATCTACATATATACCAGTATATGTGTATATATTATGCATGCAAAGACATATGATTTTTCTTTAATAAAACCAGTATTTGCATGAAACATTGTCCAACAATTTGATTTTACTTAATTATATAATTAGTACATATTCTCAAATGGCCCTATTTTAACTATTTTCTTAAATAATAAAGCAAAATATAGAATAAAGTCTCATACAGATTAAGAATTAGAAAAATAGGTACTCCAAGGAAATTATAATGAAACAATACAATTTTCTGTTATTTCTCAAATATTACAATATGTAGGGTTATTCTATCCCAAGCATTTTCATTGTACTCTTAAAGGAAGAAAAATAAAATGATTTATACTTTTATTAATAAACATTTCCAGGTGTTTTCTTTTCAGATATTTAATTTTAAAAAAAATCTAAACAGAAAGAACACACACATAGTACCAATTTCAAATTTGCCAAATGGCACATGTAGTCAAAAGTAGGTCTTCTTCCTTGGTTCTCCAGACCCATAATTTATTTCTCCAGAGGCCACTATTAAGCAGTTTCTTATATGTTGTAAAGATGTACCTTAATATTCTACACATTTAAAATAAGAAAACATTCAAAAAGCAAAACTGTATCACCACCTACCAAAATGATCGCACTTCCATGAGTGCAGGCACACCTCATTTTATTGCACTTTGTGGATATTACTTTTTTTTTTTTTTAATTGAAGGTTTGTGGCAATCCTGCATTGAGCAAGTCTATCAGCACCATTTTTCCAACAGCATGTGCTCACTTCGTGTCTGTGTCACATGTGGGTAATTCTCAAAACATTTCAAACCTTTTTGTTATTAAATTTGTTATGGTAGTCTGTGAGCAGTGACCTTTGATGTTATTATTATAATTGTTTTTTTCCAATAATATTGAAGTTAGGCCAACTAGTAACCCTATAATGGCCTAAGTGTTCAAGTGAAATAAAGAGTTGCACATCTCTCCCTTTAAATCAAAAGCTGGAAATGATTAACCTTAGTGAAAAAGGCATATTGAAAGCTGGGATATGCCTAAAGCCAGGTCTCTTGTATCAAACTGTTAGGTAAATTGTGAATGCAAAGGAAGAGTTCTTGAAGGAAATTAAAAGTGCTACTACAGTGAACACACAAATGATAACAAAGCAAAGCAGCCTAATTGCTGATATACAGAAAGTTTGAGTTGTCTGGATATAAGATCAAACTGGCCACAACATTCCTTAAGCCAAGACCTAATCCAGAGCAAGGCCCTAACTCTAATTCTATGAAGGCTAAGAGAGGTGAGGAAGCTACCAAAGAAAAGTTTGAAGCTGGCAGAGGCTTGTTCATGAGGTTTAAAGAAAGAAGTTGTCTCTACAACATAAATACAAGGTAAAGCAGCAAGTGCTGATGTAGATGTTGCAGTAAATTATCCAGAAGACCTGGCTAGATTATTGATGAATGTGGCTACGCTAAACAGATTTTCATTGTAGATGAATCAGCCTTCTACTGGAAGAAGATGCCATGTAGGACTCTTATAGCTAATGAGGAGAAATCAATGCCTGGCTCCAAAGCTTCAAAAGACAGGTTAACTCTTGTTAGGGACTAATGCAACTGGTGACTTTATGTTGAAACCAATTCTCATGTAACATTCTGAAAATCCTAGAGGCCTACGCAAAACCAACTCTGTCTGTGCTCAAGAATTGGAGCCATAAAGCTTGGACAACAGCACATTTGTTTACAGCATGGTTTACTGAATATTTAAAGCCCACTGTTGAGACCTACTGCTCAGAATAAAAGATTTCTTTCAAAATATTACTGCTCTTGGTAATGCACCTAGTCATCTGAGAGCTCTGATGGAGATGTACAAGGAGATTAATGTTGTTTTCATGCCTGCCAACACAGTTTCTATTCTGCAGCCCATATATCAAGGAGTAATTTTGACTTCTAAATCTTACTATTTAAGAAATTACTTTTTAAGGCTATAGCTGCCACAGATAGTGATTCCTCTGATGGAGCTGAACAAAGTAAATTAAAAACCTTCTGGAAAGAATTCACCATTCTAGATGCCATTAAGAACATCCATGATTCATGGGAGATCAAAATATCAACCTTAACAGAAGTTTGGAAGAAGTTGATTCCAGTCCTCATGGATGACTGTGAGGGGTGTAAGACTTTAGGACAGGAAACAACTGCAGATGTGGTGGAAATAGCAAGACAACTAGAATTAGAACTGGAGCCTGAAGACGTGACTTAATTGTTGAAATCTCATGATCAAACCTGAATGGATAAGGAGTTGCTTCTTATGAATGAGCAAAGAAAGTGGTTCCTTGAGACAAAATCCACTCTAAGGATTTAGGGTATTCCATAAACTTAGTTGATAAAGCAGCAGCAGGGTGTAAGAGGGTTGACTCCAATTTTCAAAGTTTTACTGTGGCTAAAATGCTACTGAAAAGCAATGCATGCTACAGATAAATCTTTCATGAAGGGAAGAGTCTGTTGATGCGGCAAATTTCATTGTTGTCTTATTTTAAGAAATTGCCACAGCTTCCTAACCTTCAGCAACCACCATGATTGGGTAGCAGCCATCAACATCAAGGCAAGACCCTCTACCACCAAAAAGATTACAACCTGCTGAAGGCTCAGATAGTCATATTTTTTAGCAGTAAAGTATTTTTAAACTAAGGTACATACATTGATTTAAGATATGGTATTATACACTTTAATAGAGTATGGTATAGTGTAAACATACTTTGTTCCAAGACTTACCACAGCTACACTCCTATCTACACTAAATTTGATGAAACTTAAAACTCCTTCATAATTTTACATTTTGATTTTGAGAAGAACTTCAAAGGAAATGTGGAAAGGTATTAGGACTTTAAGTTCTTAAGGAATTCATTTAAACCTGGGCCTTTTAAGGACCAATTATCCATGGATTACTCTTACTTGTATCCTTATTTCCCTTAGGAATCAATTGTTACTTGTACCAAGGCAGAGGTGTTGATTGAAAAATTAGTTTTAAGTTTGTGTTAGTAAAAAGAAACCCAGAGAGCCAATTAATATGGTCTAGATCAAACATACCTTTATTTCAATGGCAAAAAAAATTAATGCTGCATAATTGTTGAACAGTTATATACATCTTAAGAACAGTAAACATACATCTTAACTAGCAACTCATAAGTGTGTGTTAAAATAGGGCCACCAGATTACACAAGATGAAATATAAATGTTTGTTGATAATTTGAACAAATACCTAATAAAATATTAAGTAACCAAGGTTTTAGAGTGTTAGTTCCTCACATTCCACACAAAACTTCCAATGCTGATCCATTATATGGCATGGGAGAAATTCTTGATCACTGATTAATAGTATTTCATTTATTTGTAGATAACGTGGGATACTTTGCATTGGCTCTCCGGAAGTTCCTGTTTAAAGAAGTATCAACAAATTAAAAACTGCCCTCTGAAATGTAAGATTTAAATTTTGCTATTACAAATCCTAGAATCCAATTGAGTCTCTGTGAAAGCACATATAAAATGTTTCCTGATCAGGACCTTTTTCCTTCAACCTCTTTTCTGTACTCAGGACAAAGCTATGAACCAGCATTGGCTGATCTTCGGAAAGAGTGGCCTGTTTGAAGTCTAAAGCATCAGCAGAAAAAGGATGATGGAAGCTTCTGAAGGTAGTTGTACAAGCTCCTCTGTGCCTCAATTTCCAATAAACTGAGAACACAGTAGTTGTATTCAGTGAGATTTTGCATGAGAAATTCTTAGCATACTGCTGGGCATATAGCAAATAATAAATACTAGATGCTACTATTACTAATAAAAAGAGTATTAAGCTATAAGATTTCTAGTCCTGCCTCTGCCACAAACTTGGTGTGTGATCTCAAGCAAGTTATATGGCTTTTCCAGACTTCCATCTCTTGGAGATGTGAGAGGGGTGATGATCAAGACAGTTCCTTTTGGCTCTGCTAGTCTAAGGGGCCAATGATCCTAAAACTGGTTTCTTCAAGCTCCCTGACAATCTGAGAAACTTTTTTTCTCTGAGATTGGCTATATGAAGTGTATATCATTCAGCAAGTTGAATCTTATTCCACAGATAGCAACAATATGAGTGTGGCGGCTGTATGGCCAACACTTTCCCAATACTTGGCCCATGTGCTTCTGGTAGAGTTGTTTTCAACCTCCTAATTTGCTTAGATCTATACCAATCAGTGAACAGGCACTGAATCAGGAATGAGAGCACATCCCATTCAGAGGGGAGTGACATGCAAGGAGTTTTGTTTTTTTTTTTTGAAACGGAGTCTCTCTCTATTGCCTAGGTTGGAGTGCAATGGCCCGATCTGGGCTCAGTGCAACCTCTGCCTCCTGGGTTCAAGTGATTCTCCTGCCTCAGCCTCCAGAGTAGTTGGGAATACAGGCACCAACCACCATGCCTGGCTAATTTTTGTATTTTTAGTAGAGGCAGGGTTTGGCCATGTTTTTAGTAGAGATGGGGTTTTGCCATGCTGGTCTCGAACTCCTAATATTAGGTGATTGGCCGGCCTTGGCCTCCTAAAGTGCAATAAGATTTTTATTGGGTATTTTGGGAAAGAGTCACATACACAGTCTTCTTTTTTAGACTTGAATCTGGAAGCATGTAGTCCTGGGATGATGGAAAGAAAGGATATTAGGATGGAGCCAAAATGAGGAAATGGAGCTGATAAATGGAAAGCAAGAGAAACTGGTGCATTGTCATGCTCTTTGAACACTGAATGAAACCTGAAGATCTGTTTCTGGTCTTTCATGTACATGAGTCAATAAAATTCCTTTTTGCCAGTCTGATTTGGGTTTTAAATCATCACTTACAATACAAAGAATTTAAACTTTTTTATACATGGTCCATATGTAAACATAGTCATTCCCTTATTAGGAGCTTTGTTTTATAGACTTCCTGAAACAAAGTATCTCATAAAAGTGAGGGAACATTTTTCTCTTAAAAAACTCAGAGAAATAAATCTTTACATATTAACTTAAATTCTTTTCATCAAAGTTAGCTTAGTTTCATCATTTAAACACTGTTTTTTACACTAGTCTTTTTCTCTATAAGATACTATCCCCCACTTTTGTTATGATTTGAAAAACTTAATGTATCTACCATAGTTTGTTTATAATTTGTAATTTATTCATCACTTTTCACTATTCAGGCATGTGCCAATACTTCTATAGAACTGATACTCAGACGCAGACTTTTACATTTTATAATGTAAAACAATTACCTTTTAAAAGGCTCTGCCAGACAGATCCAAGATGGCCAAACAGGAACAGCTCCGGAGTGCAGTTCCCAGCCAGAGCGGTGCAGAGGGTGAGTGCTCACCACATTTCCAAAGAAGTTTTCACTGCCCACAGACCAGGAGATTCCCTGGCCGAAAAGTGCCACAAGTTTTCAGCTCAGCGGTTTCAGCCAGTGCCGCATCGGCGCACAGAAACTCACACAAGTCTGGCTGCCTTTTTGGCTGGTGCCTGGAACGCCTGGGAGACAGAGCGCCCATTCAACTGAAAGGGAAGGGGCTAAGACAGGGAGCCAGGGGATCTGGCTCAGTGGGTACCACCCCCACAAAACAAGCAATCTGAAACACTCTGGATTGACAATTTCGCAGCAAGCCCAGGTGGACCCAGGACCGTCCAGCTCAGTGGGGGGAAGGGTGTTACCCGCTACTGAGGCAGTCTGCCACAACCGAGGCAGTTCACACAGCAGCTGGGCAGAGCCTGCGGCAGCTCAGCAACACCTCTGCTGGCAGACTGTGACTAGACTACTCCATGCAGGGCAGAGCATCTGCAAAAAAAGGCAGCAGCACAACAGGGACTTATAAATAAAGCAGACCTTCCTAGGACAGAGCGCCTGGGAAAAGAGGCGGGTATGAGTTCAGCCGCAGCAGACTTAAAGGTACCTGCCCAGCAGCTTTGCACAGAACAGCGGAGCTCCCAGCACAGCACTTGAGCTCCTATAAGGGACAGGCTGTATCCTCAGGCAGCTCTCTGACCCCTGTATACCTAAAGAGACACCTCATAAAGGGGAGATCAGGCCGACATCTGGCAGGTACCCTTCTGGGATGAGGATAGGAAAGGAAGAAACCTGCAGCAACCCTTGCTGTTCTACAGCCCCCGCAGGTGATCCCTAGGCGAGCAGGGTCTGGAGTGGACCTCCAGTGGTCCTGCAGCAGAGAAGCCTGTTAGAAGGAAAACTAAGAAGCAGAAAGAAATAGCTTCAACATCAACAAAAAGGACATTCACTCAGAGACCCCATCCGAAAGTCACCAACTACAAAGACCACAGGTGGAAAAAACCATTAAGATGGGAAGAAACCAGCACAAAAAGGAGGAAAACACTGAAAACCAGAATGCCTCTCCTCTTTCAAGGGATCACAACTTCTCACCGGCTAGGGATCAAAGATGGATGGAGAATGAGTCTGATGAATTGACAGAAACAGGCTTCAGAAGGTGGGTAATAACAAACTTCTCAGAGCTAAAAGAACATATTCTAACCCAATGTAAAGAAACTAAGAACCTAGAAAAAAGGTTAGATGAGATGCTAACTAGGATAAACAGCTTAGAGAAGAAAATAAATGACTTGAAGGAGCTAAAAAACAGGACAAGAACTTCGCGAAGCATACACAAGTTTCAATAGCTGAATCAACCAAACAGAAGAAAGAATATCAGAGATTGAAGATCAACTCAATGAAATAAAATGAGAAGGTAAGAATAGAGGAAAAAGAGTGAAAAGAAATGAACAAAACCTCCAAGAAATATGGGATTATGTGAAAAGACCTAATCTACGTTTGATAGGTGTACCTGAATGTGATGGAGAGAATGAATCCAAGCTAGAAAACACTCTTCAGGATATTATCCAGGAGAACTTCCCCAACCTAGCAAGGCAGGCCAACATTCCACTCCAGGAAATACAGAGAACACCACAAAGATATTCCTCAAGAAGAGCAACCCCAAGGCACATAATCGTCAGATTCACCGGGGTTGAAATGAAGGAAAAAAATGCTAAGGGCAGCCAGAGAGAAAGGTCAGATTACCCACAAAGGGAAGCCCATTACACTCACAGCAGATCTCTCAGCAGAAACCCTACAAGCCAGAAGAGAGTAGGGTCCAATATTTAACATCTTTAAAGAAAAGAACTTTCAACCTAGAATTTCATATCCAGCCAAATTAAGCTTCATAAGCAAAGGAGAAAGAAAATCCTTTATGGACAAGCAATTGCTGAGAGATTTTGTCACCACCAGGCCTCCCTTACAACAGCTTCTGAAAGAAGTACTAAACAAGGAAAGGAACAACCAGTACCAGCCACTCCAAAAACATACCAAATGGTAAAGAGCATTGACACTATGAAAACTGTGTCAACCAATGTTAAAACAACCAGCTAGCATCAAAATGGCAGGATCAAATTGACACATAACAATATTAACCTTAAATGTAAATGGACTAAATGCCCCAATCAAAAGACACAGACTGGCAAATTGGATAAAAAGTTAAAACCCATCGGTGTGCTATATTAAAGAAACCCATCTTACATGCAAAGACACACATTGGCTAAAAATAAAAGGATGGAGGATTATTTATCAAGCAAATGGAGAGCAAAGAAAAGCAGGAGTTACAATCCCCGTCTCTGATAAAATGGACTTCAAACCAACAAAGATCAAAAGAGACAAAGAAGGGTATTCCATAATGGTAAAAGGATCAATGCATCAAGAAGAGCTAATGATCCTAAATATATACGCATCCAATACAGGAGCACCCAGATACATAAAGCAAGTTCTTAATGACCTACAAAGAGACTTAAACTCCCACACAATAACAGCGGGAGACTTTAACACTCCACTGTCAATATTAGACAGATCAACGAGACAGAAAATTAACAAGGATATCCAGGATTTCAACTCAGATCTGGACGAAGTGGACCTAATAGACATCTACAGAAATCTCCACCCCAAATCCAAAGAATATACATTCTTCTCAGCACCACATGGCACCTACTCTAAAATTGACCACATAATTGGAAATAAATCACTACTCAGCAAATGCAAAAGAATGGAAATCGTAACAGTCTCTCAGACCACAGTGCAATCAAATTAGAACTCAGAATTCAGAAACTAACTCAGAACCACACAACCTCATGGAAACTGAACAACTGACTCCTGAATGTCAACTAGATAAACAATGAAATGAAGACAGAAATAAAGATCTTCTTTGAAACTAACAAGAACGAAGACACAACATACCAGAATCTCTGGGACACATTTAAAGCAGGGTCTAGGGGGAAATTTGTAGCAATAAATGCCCACCAGAGAAGTGAGGAAAGAGCTAAAATCGACATCCTGTCATCAAAATTGAAAGAGCTAGAGCAGCAAGATCAAAAAAACTCAAAAGCTAGCAGAA